TTGCTATGACGTAAATGACACGTTATTTTTACGATTTTTAAACGTGTCTGATGGCATGGGTAACACCCCCCCCCCCCGTGGAGAGTGTGTCTGGCAATTGAATATCAGACATCAGATTTCAAAAATAGGATAGCCAAGGAAAATGCCTGGGAAATGATGAGTGAAAAAATGGAATATCCGAGTATAAGAAACCAATTGTCTGAATAGCTTAGGAAAAGACCACATGGACGTCTCTCAGGAACAGATTTGTGACTGAGAGGCGAAAGATTAGGTGTGTGATGAGAACTCGACCTCCCTGCCGATTGATCGACGGATGACCCGTTGGCTCAATTGGCAAAGCGTTGGGCATGTAACCCAGAGGTGGTGAGTTCGAATCTCACACGGGGCAATGGAGTTTTTGCATTTTCCATTGTCACTCGAGATTAGGGCTTTCCATCTTCATCATTATATTCATCAATTATTGAATATTCTACTTCATGGAAGAGTCCAATTGAACATATGAAAAAATCGGCTATATTGAAATGACGTTTTTGCCAGTCATTCTATCGTACTTCCAACTCCCGGTATAGTTTATGCGAAGTCAGTTGAAAAACTTTCGTTTTCAAGGATGATACGAGGATTTGTCGATTTGCTTAACATTGGAATAGGGATGAATGAGATATTTACTACTGAGCTTTCCCGGTATACGCGTCTCATTGGTTAATCCAAACTATACTGATGTTGATTGGTCAGAGTTGCATAGGCGGTCTTCTGTGTGATAAGAATCTTCTAGCCTGCACTAGGCAGTGCGGTACGAGCTAGGTTACCTTCATTGGTTCCACTCGAAATTCAGAAAATTATTATTCCAATCATAGTGGTTTTGTGTTCTGGAGGCCTTTTCAGGAAGTCAACGAAGTGAGTGATAGTGATTCGGAGAAAGAGCAAGCGGAGTTCGCCAATAAAGACTTACACGTTCAAACGCAAAGGGTGATTTTGAATATCTATTCGCGTCTCAAGGACGAGAAAAATTATTCTTCAGAAAACCAACTTGTGAAGAGAATACAGAAATTAACTGAAATAAGCTATACCCACCATATACAGAGTTATTAGAACCGGAGGTGTTGTAGATCATGAAATTAAACGAAAAAGAGTGGGACAAAAACTCAGGAAGCTTGATGATGCTTCGAAAGAAGTAATTCGTCGAATTTTCTATAGATTTCATAATGAGAATGAGGTGCCAACATTGCCAGATATCAATGATAAGTTGAATGAATACGCGGATTATAATTACAAATCGTTGAGTACAATGTGAAATGTTCTACTAGATTGCGAGTTCAGTCATAAGAAATTAGACAAGAGGATGGTGATTATGGAATCAAGACCCATCGTAGACCATCGGCAAGAATTTCTACGTAAAATGAAGGAATAATGTGAAGCGAATAGACCTATAATCTAGATGAAACGTGGTTCGACACTCATGACGTTGTTCAATTCGGTACAATGTGAGTGGTCTGAGTTCGAGAGGCAAAAGCATTATAATCCTTCACGCCGGCAATGAAAATGGATTTGTTGACAATGCATTGTTGTCTGTCAAAAATATCAAGCAATCTTCTGCAGATTATCACGAGGATATGACGGCAGAATTATTTGAGGAATGGGCAGAGCAGCAGCTTATACCAAATATTCCAAAGAATCCAGTCATCGATACGGATAATGCGTCATACCATTCATGTCAACAAACGAAAATACCGAGCATCAACACGAAAAAGGCTGACATTATTCAATATATGGAGAAAAAAGGCATGAAAATATATCCTGAAAAACTGAAGAAAGGATTACTGGAGTAGAGTATTTAGGAGAGTAGTGGACCCAGAACGCTCTATGCTCAATCTGGCCCAAACGGTCATCGAGTTCCTCCAAGTGCAGTTGAAGACGTTGCAGAGCTCCTGGTGTGTGAACTGAAGAACCCCGACGTCATGCATAACTTAGGATGTATCTAGGGTGCCTGGTTCCAAAATTTCGGTAACATTTTTCGTTGCCAGTCTTTGGTCCAGAAATCACCCTGTTTACGTTTCCTATGCCATGATCTCATCAGTGTAATGAATTCAATAATAATTTGCAAGGTGTGTTTGTTTATCACGCTCGATCATCGATTAACATAATACCATGGCCACTATGCAGACAACAATACCAAAATATCCGTCGTTTCCACGCCTCAATGATTTCATCGCAACAACAACAATAAGTTTGTTTATCGAGCACTAATGATCTCATCGATAATACATGCACAATCTACCGGTGCAAATTTCGATTATAGGGTGGACAGGAATGGTTTCCAAAAATGTATAAAAATCATGAAAAAATGTATTTTTTCATCAGTTCTGTTGTTATCATCTTCAGTTACGTATCATTATGTCTGAATTTGAAGATAGTGCCATCAGTAGTTTGTCAGGTCAGTCATATGACTTTGTGGATGAATATCATTGCGTGATCCCAATTACACGTAATGGAGAAATTATAAATGATGAAGAGTTCGATGGTGGAAAAGATGTTGAGATAAAGCTGAGTTTTCCTTCACGTGGAGAACCCTACCAGATTCCTGAGAAGAATTATCCGTTGGATAATTTCATCAACGAGAATATGTGCCATACTAAATATGCGAGCTGCAATAAGTATTATCATTTATTCAATCCAGTTAATGGAAAACATTTCATCTTGTGCCCGTCTTGTTATTCCCGTACAGATTTGGTTTCGAAAATGAAAAAATACTCAGCATCATTGTTCTGTAATAATAAACATATTCATGCATTTGCTCATATTCATTGTTTCAAGTGCAAACGAGATTGTATAGAATATAGAACGTGTGAATTCAGAAATTCCTACAATTTTAAAAATGTTTTAGGTGTTTGGTCATCTGGAATTGTTTGATTGCAAGTGTTCAAAATAAAATGAAGAATCCATGAACTAAGTATTTTATTTGCCATCCTGTACATTGAAAGCTGATATCATCTTTACCCATGGACTTCGTAAACAAGTGATGTCACTTTAGCTGATGATCTTATTTTGCCATTATTCATGATTGAGTAAGCAAGTAAAAGTGGGGAGGTATGAGTGGGAATATTGGTATAAAAAAGATAGCGGAGGATAAATGATCATTGTGAAATATTGTCGTGAACTTGTTGAATCGTGAAAAAGTGAAACATCCTGCCTAAAAGTGAGTTTGATATTTGTTTAGTATCAAATTTCTGATCACAATTCCTGATTGAAATTCTCAAAGTCAAGAATGGACTTTAATTTTAGATGGATCTTACAGCTATAAACAAAGAGGCTTCGTTGGTGAGGAAGGAGACCGTGAAGCTGTCTGATCTTCCAGTTAATAAGAAGATACCGATAATTAGTATTAAGGTTGTGAAAACACGATTTGGGAAGTGTATCCTGGCGGAACTGGAAGATTTTGTAGTCTTTCTTCCGCAAAGAGTGACCGACTTGGTGGAAGGAAAAGAGGAAGAATTCACACCAAAGAAATACGCTCTGGTGTATAAAGGCCAGAAGGACGTTGGGAAATCGAAGGACGCCTATAGTTTCGAGTTGGTGAAAAACATTGAGTGAGTTTTAATATGAATACCCAATTCTGCTTAGACTGTAAGAAGTATTTTTGTTTTTGTAAGAAATCTGTAGACCTACATAACTTCTTCACCACGGCATCTAACCCATTGAAAAATAATCTTTATGATGAAATTGTCAGTAGCACAAATTTGTATTGTCTAGAAACTCTGCAGGATAGTCCAAAGTCTGCCCGACAGGAGAAAAAAAAAAGAAAGAATTTGTGAATATAAATATATTAACACCATATTGAGTATCATTTTTGAGATAACTGTTGAAAGGTGAAGTATCATGGAACAATGTGATATTGCGAAGCATAGCGATGAGATTATCAAATTATTTCTCAAAGCTCATAAAGAAATTTCAGATAGTACTAGCATACCTATCAGAGAAAGATGGATTAAACTATACAATACAAATTTGAGACTATTCAATAGAGCTGTTCGTGATGGTGACATGAATGTATCATCTTTGAGAAAACTCCAAACTAACATTGGACATTTGAAGCGATTCAGAAAATTGATATCTGTCGGTGGTGGTATCAAAAATAATGGAAGAAGAAATGATAGAATCAGATAGGAAGATATTCAGTCAGCTTTTAATAAACGAATACGTTCAGCAGTTATCATGAATTTGAAACATATCGATGTTAGACAATTTTTAAGAGACTCATTTTTTTTATTCAAATCGAGAGTACAAAGGATGCTGAAAAAATTCCATTTCATGAAAATAAACACATGTTTTTGTGGAGAATTCTTGAAAAATAATAAAAATGATGAAATCATATTCGATTACAGATATCTGAACACTAAGAACTTTATCATTGATGCTGAAGTGGATTTGGAGCAATGGTATGAAGAAAATGTAACGGATGTCATTTTGAATAAATTGGATGAGTTTCAAGAGC